CAATCCCGGAATCCAGAGAGAGCTTCCCTATCAACCCTTATCTATACACTGAGCATGACATTACATGACATGGAATATTCCATTGGCCGGTTTGGGTCCATTGCTCTGGCTGTGCTCCCTCCCAGCTTCTTGTGTACCTGCGCACTAGCAGGACATGGGAAGCTGAAAAGTCCTTGATTTCTTAGCAACTGAAAACATCAGTACATTATCAACATTCTTCCCATACCAAATCCCATACTGAATCCAAAACACAGCACTGTTCTAGCTGCTAAGAAGGGGGGAAAAAAATAGCTCTATCCCAGCCAAAACCAGAACAAGAGGGAAAACTGGAATTAACATTTAAGCATTCATGGGTTTATATGAGTCTAAGAGATGGGTGATTGTTACAGCAGGAGATAAACAATGCTTTGTTTGTTTGCTTTTCTTCTTACACATGATGCAAAAAAAGATGATCATGGGAGAGCTTCCAGACAGGTGATGCTGCACAATTAACACAGCTCAAGCTGTTAGGATACAACTGTTTGTGCGACTGGAGTGCCTATGAGCTGGACAAGAACTCACTGTGCTGAACATGAGCACCATGTCCAGGTACTCTGACACATAAGATGCTGTGGCTGGCAGAAGTTTCCACCATCCAAAGGGAGGTTCATGGGAGAGAAATTCTATTCTGGCTCAGAAAAGACCACACTGACGAGGAGCCTTGCTGGACCACGATGTTCTTCTGCTCTTTCCTGGGATGTGCTGCTGCTGCTGTCAGGTCATGCTGACCTCTGGGCTCCGTACGGTGAGGGCAGGCAAGGGGTGTGAAGAAGGTGTGCAAGTGTTAGCAGAGGGGTCTGTGTGGCAGCAGCATTTTGGTGCCAGGTGGTTTTGTAAGTCTAGGTGGGGATTAGATAAACTGCAGAGAGATATGGGGAGAAGGGGTCTCAGTAGGTCATAGGAGGAGACTGGGGAAAAGCAGAAAGGAGGGGACCACTGGGATTTAAATGATACTAAAGCAAAGAGCACATGGACAAGGGAGTGTTTGTCATGAGCAAACAGGCAATCACTGCAGGGTGGAGGAGCCACCATGAAAACACTCAAGTGCTTCCCTCAAGTGCCTCAGATTTGCTCCAATTCCTGTTTGTTTGGGGGTCTGGTGCCTCTAATGTCTCAGTGCCACAGGGATCCCAGTGCTCTGAGGTGGTGGCAGAGGCCACTGGGACGCAGTTCAAGCCTGGGAGGCTGTGAGCTGCAGCCATGGCAGGGACACAGCCATTCTGTGAGTATGTGCAATGTTAGGCTGTCTGTGTGCTTCATCCTTGTTGGACATAAAAGCCATGTTTAACCCATCATGTCAATGCAGCCCCCATCTTACAGACTTCTGCATTTGCTGACTTTTACTAACAGCTTTGTTAATCTGGTGTATCCCTGACTTAAAGGTCCATCACTTTCCTTGGAACCTGGAACTTTCATCCCGGGATATTAGGAGATGCCAGCTGGGCATGATAGGTCCTGGCTTGTATGAACAGCACCCATTGAAGTACTCTCCTTGTGAACAAACATTTGCAGGATAAAAAATTCAGGTAGCTAGTTTTTCTAAGACTGGTTCCTGAAACTTCCCCGAGGAAGAAATGAGAGACAGTAATATGACCACACAACATCCACAGGTGGGTACTTCATCCATCATTCAAGAAGATGCTGGTGATTGAAAATGTTCCCAAACTTCTGCTTGACAGCTAACTTTCGTTTGACTTATATACCACTTGGGCTGAGAAATCTGGTCAACATTGTTTCTTTTTGACATAGCTAAAGTCTTATCTGGTTTTATATCCATCATGAGACAGGTTCCTTCTACCTCTGTAGGAAATCTCACCATGAGGCTTCTCTTAATGGCTCGCGGCAGAGCTTCTGGAGTTATGATGCAGAATTGCAAGGGTGGAAAGAGATTTCTCTTACGCCCTGCTGTGCACAGTTACAAAGTTGTTCATGTCCAGTTAATTAAATCCCTGAAAATTGCAATTTTATGTTGTTGTAGCAGGATCCAATTTAATGGCCACTGAAGTCAACAGGAACCCATCTGCTAATCTTAAAACGTGTTTGGGTCTGGCAGGAATTGACAGCGAGATGCAATGTAGAGCTCAGCAAGTAGTGCTGATGGAAAGAGTGTTTATTTATGCAACAAAGAATTAAGAAGCGTTTCATTATTTACACCTACTCTGCAATGTAATGAAGGAGTCAGTCTGCTCCATTGCTCTTTATATCTTCTGATACTCTGCTGATGCTCCCAGTCATTTCACATTTTCTCTGAGCCTTGTCCACATTGCTTAAATAAATATATGCAATAACTGCAACCAGGATCAGCAGTGCCCTTGTGAGTGGCTGGACCAAGGCACTGGGCCAAGGCACCACACTCTCACATGCATGTACTTGGAAGGTGAAACTTAGAAACCTTGTAATGGCTGAGTCAGTCTAGTAACACAAACAAACCTGAACAGCCAAAGTGTAGACCTACATCTGAATGTATGTGCATTGACATACAGAGGTGACATGTGAACAGCAAGTTTGAATGCCTGGAAGGCCATGAGAGCCTCAGCAAGGTGACTTATTCATAACAAAGCACAGGAAATTGTTAAAAGTAATAAAGATAACAAGTGAAAAACATGCTGCAGCACTGTTAAGAACAGCCTTTCTTCTGTCACCCTGTCTTACACAATGCAGATGTGACCCCACAGCCCCTCAATGCTTCTTGGCACAAAGACCCCCGTTGAATTCAGTGGGACCAGGGGGGAGCTGGGGGCTGCTGCCCATGAAGGTAACGGTTTGTAGGATCAGGGTAGCACACAGTGACAGCTCAGTCCTGCTTGCACAGTGCAGAAGAGCAGGAAAGAAAAAAAAAAAAAAAAAAAGGCATTTTTGATGAAATAGTTGAAGCAATGTGATTTACTGAACCAGTGTTACACTGCCCATGAAGCTTGCTCAGTTTGCTGTTGCTAGCAATTCAGATATTGTCCAAGCTGTCCTGCTCATCAGTGCATGAACTCTGAAAACACTTAGCCACTACCAGCTCTGTGCATTATTTCAGCTGGAAGAACCATGGTAGGTAAAGTAACGATGATGGATCTAAACGATAATAAAGTCTCCCTGTTGAAAATTTAAAGTGCTATACAACTATTTTTAGTGACCTCTCCAGCTGAGATAATGCAGAAAGCTAACTAGATGTGAACATCCATCTTAGGTGAATTGATTCTTACGGGTTGCAAACCAAGGTGAATTGTAGGAGGTTAATGTTCATGCTCCAGTACAAGAGATATCAGCTATATAAAAAGATGCATACTGTACATGTAAAGAAATAACCTATTAAATATCTAATGTGGATGCGATCGTTTTTTTTCCTCTTTGAGCATGTTTATCTCCATAATGGACATTTAGTTTGGACAAAACACTAAGAGCTCCCTCCCTCATATCCTCCTCCCTCTCCTCCCTCTGTGTGTGTGTATACATGTGTGATGTGTGTGGGCATGAGAGAGGGAGAAGGCTTTTGTCTTTGATTCAGGAAAGCAAAGTTTTCCTGGCTGGGGTGTTCTGATCCCACATTGAGGTAAAGTATTTACATTTGATTTTCCAAAATAAAAGACATTTTTAAAATGTTTTAAAATGGATGTTTATTTCCTTCAATCATCCTCCAAATCGAAGTTCTTGGGTTAGTATTTTCAAATTCAGGACTTTAAAATGAAGCAACTATTTTCTGTGGCTTCCTAAGTAAAAGAGCTGAGCACTGGCATCTCTCTCTCTGCAAGGAGATGCAGAGCACTGGATGTCTTTGAAAAATGCAGCACATATTCCAAGACTGCTACAGCAAATTCTTTACTTCTCAGAGCTCATTTATCTCAGAAAGGCTCCACATCTAGCAATGCAGCTTGCTTCCCCTCCTGTCCAAACCCTCCGATGGCAATGAGCAACATCAATAAGTAATAGAAAAAATACTTTAAAAAACTAAGCCACAGGCAGAGCAGCTCATTCACTTTACTCTGAGGCTGGATTACAAACCTTATTTTTTTTCTATTTCATCTGCTTAAAGCCCCAGTTCCACAAACATTTAGTTTTGAGATGAAACACTTGAAAGTCAATGGGTGATGAAGGCTGGGTGAAAGGCAAGACCTAATGCTGCAGGGACCCAGGGTGAAGAACCATATTCACCAAGTGCCATGCACATCAAGGATGACACAATAAGGAAGATTTTCAGCCGAGTCCCTGTGGCTCAGCTCTTTAGCAAAGAGCTTTTGGAACAGAGAAATGAGTCTGTTGACCTCTCAGATCCTGGGGACAGTGAGTTTCCAGCAGAAACAATGCCAAAAGAAAAAAGCAGACATCAGCTAAAATACTGTAATAAGAATGTTTATTAGCACTGCATAGTAATAAAATGAAGTATTACTAGAAAACCAGCTTTAAAAGGTTAGAAACAGGTGAGCAGATCCACCAAGGGGCCATGAACTATGTGCTTGTGAGTACCAATGTTACTCTAGTATTGCTTCAAGAGCCATTCCCTATGGGACACATCCCACCACTGAAGCCCTGAAGTACTTCTGGCCCAGGAGTGATCTGCCTAGCCCGTCTGCTGGGAAGTACTCCAGCAGTTTAAGCTTAACAACCAAATTGGTTAGCACCACTCCTTCAGCACTTGTGGATGTCAAGGAATAAAGAGCATCACCAATTGAGTGGGAACAATACTCACTTTGGCCCTGGCAGTCTCATCTACCTCTGCGGTCAATAAACAGAGACAAGCTTGCACAGACGTTGAACTTGATTAGAGAGCTCATCTTGGTTAAAACTCTCTAGATCTTCTTGCTGCAAAGGATGGAGGGGGAGGAGGATGGGACCATCTCTCTGGGTAACAGAGCCAGATTGACAGTGCTGGATTGCTGCACTAGCATAACTAGAGGGGGATTAGCTGCTCTGAGTCACCTACCTGAGAACTTCTCTCTCCCATGGACCATGCTGGCAACCTGCAGAGATCAACCTCCTTCGTGGCAGTTTGGGGACATCTGTGCCTGTGGCAGCTCCAGGGACAGCTGCTGACCTGCACACGAGCAGGCACGTGAGAAAGCGATGGCAAGCCAAGGTAATTTTGAAGAACAACCCACTTCAAATTGACTTAAGAAACAACCTGGCCTGAAGAGCCATTTCCAATATAAGTATCCTAACAGAGATGTTTATGAGCACGCTTTTCTCCCATCTTATAGACGCAGCAATTTGCTCCCTGAAGAATAGTTGCATGTCTTTGTATTTCTTGGAAGTGCCAGAAAAACACTGGACCTGTGTGTCCCTATGTGTGGCTGGCATCACTCTTCATTTAATGGGGAATTATCATACAATATGATGTTCCAGAAGAACTATCATTCTGTCCTCGTCTACCTTGGGATTACTACTGTGTGGTATGAAAGCATTTCAAGAATTGCTTCTGAAGAAGTACATGTATTTCAGTAGGTGAAACTGGGAGGAATGAAGTCTCTTTGTTCTGAATGGAGCCACTAATAGTCATTGAAAGAAGGTTCAAGACAACAGAAGTCCTCCAACTGAAAAAAATCATGTCCTGCTCCCCCGTTGCAGAGCTCACCACTGAAATCAATGGGTCTTGAAAAAGAGAAGGTAGTTCTAAAATAAAACTCCTCATTTGTCTTAGTGAAGCCCCAAATAGTGTGTCATTCTGGGTTACTATGGAGTTATCGAATAAAGGTTGAGAAGCTTGTTCTGCTGGTCAATATGTGTGTGTGTGTGTGTGTGTGTGTGTGTGTGTATGCAGCTCTCAGCCATGGCTGTGTGTCTCCTGGAGGCTCCCCTCCAAAACCTGCATTCATCTCCTGTGAAGTTTTCTAAGGAACTGAGCTTCTGAGACTAGTACAAATAAGGTGTATGTGCTCAGGACAATTGGATGCTCCCTTTCTGTTTCTGCCACAAGGTTATGATAACCTCTCTTTTCACATCTTTGCTTTATATCAGACTGCTAACAAATTACAATAATAATTTTTTAAAAAGTATCAGGTGGAACAGCTTTAAATGGAAATAAACAGATATGACTAAATCCTTTAGGCTGTTTGGGATGCCTCAAGTGATTTAGTTTGGCTGTATCTGTACGTTAAAAGATATGAGGGCACTGAGGTTCATTACTTATCCTATTAAAACATTAGAAGAGTCCCTGGCGTGGGATTGCCTCAGACCAGACAGAGCTATCCTGCACGGTCCCCAGGAATGGCTCAGTAGCTAGCACGGGGTGTGGAGCCTTTCCCATCAGCAGTATGGACACGGCCACCCTGGTTTGGAGGGTAAGAGGGCTGAAAATCTTGGAGCACCAAGATGCAGCAGTGCCAGGACATGTCATTTAATAGTGCAGATGTGGCAAAGTGCTCCATGACAGGTCTCTACTGTGACAATAAAGAGCTAAAACCCTGACAGATGTTTTCCAGTCAGGAGTCTGTATTGGATGAAGGCATGTTAGGGGACCACATGAGCCTGATCTCTATGTGGACACCTTCCCGACAAGTCTGTCCTGGTTGTCTGAGGGTGATCTGCAAATGCAGATTTTGGGGGTGGCAAGCTCCCAGTCTTGTCTAAAACCATCTCCATCTTTATTTGGCTTGGGATAGGAATGGTGGGGAGGGAGCCCTAGAGGTGCCACCAAGCCCCTCCTTGGGCACTCCTGGAGAGGAGATGCTCCTCCCCCAGTCATAAGTGGGGAGGGTGCAGATCCCATCCCACCCATGCCATAACTGTAGGTCACAGTTGGGAAGGCCACGGGGTTGGGCTTAGCTCAGTGCTATGGGGAAATCCCAAGAAAAGCCACTTGCATTTTGCTTTATACAGTGAGAGAAGAGTCTGTGAGGGGAGAGCAGTGGGTGATTGGCACCATTTTTAGGCTTTCTGGGACAGAAATAGTGGAAGCAGTAGTGAGGGCTGATGCCCTGAGGCTGACTCCTGTGGGATGGAAAGACACCAGCCAAGTGTAAGGAGTCAACTAATGAGTGTGGAGGTCTGGAAGGCCATAGTGCCTCTCCTCCACCTGTGGGAAGAGACAGAGGGGACAAATATCTGAACACACTTTGCTTTTATAAGCTTTGAAGCTGGCAGCTTCCCTTCAAACCATTTTCTTGCAGGGGAAGGTGTGTGCCAGAGAGGTCCATGTCACCGTTCAGATGGTAGCAGGGTTAAAATGGGCCCTCTAGGGAATTTCTGCATTTTGGGGTGACTTAAAACTGAATGTAGCAAGTGGTGAAAGGAGGAAAGCCACTTCCCGGCCTTTGGCTGGGGATCTTGCAGCCTGTCCTGAAAGAGAAGGGAAGAGAAATCCAAGGACTTTATCCATCACCCCAGCGCTGAAAATAAATGATAGAGTGCAAAGTGCTGTATCCCTCGGGGGATCTAAGATGACATGTTCCTCCTCTTGATTCCCAGCTAGGTCTCGCCCTCTGGGTCCCCCTCAGGAGGGCACGCCAAGGTCAGCCCAGGGTTCAGGCTCCTTTGTGGGTGCTGGGGCTGCAGGGTGGCCTTGGGGAGGGGACAGGGGAGAGGACAGGTCAAAGTTTGGCAGCTTCTGCACCCCACAGTGCCCTTTCCTTTTGGCCTCCCACGCCTCCATCCCCACCTCCAGCAAACACATTTAGATCATCTCCTGGAAAAGAGAGAAATAACATTAATATAAAAAAAGCAGTGCCTGGCAGTGCTTAGAGGCAGGTAGAGACATCATTGGGGAGTATTACACACTCCCTCACGGTATTACCCCTCCATCAGGCAGGGGTAACTGGATCTGCGACAGAGCCTGATCCTCCCAAGCCTTTAATTGGATGCGTGAAAGGTCCAAAATGCAGCTCACTCTCATGCTTCCACCAGCTATGAGATGCAGTGTCTTCTTGTTACACAAGGCCACTTCCCAATGAAGCTGGCCTCCTTTCTAACCTCTGATACCACCCGGCTGCCAGGCCAGCAAGCTGAGGCAGACTCTTCGTAAAGGAACCTTCCCAGCCAAGCGGGGTGCTGGTGGCAGCAAAATATTCAATAGCTTTCCAGACACCCACTCTTTTCTCTACACAGAAAATGCCATAGTTAGATGAGGGGCAAAAGGTGGTGGCAGAACAATTAGGGAACAGTCGTTCTTTTCGGTGGGATCGGGCAGTGGGACAGGAACGGGACAAGCGCTCTGCAAGGCTTGTGCAAACTGGAGCGCGAAGATCGGTGTGTGGGGAGCATCCGCGTGTGCCAGGCAGCAGCTGGGGCAGTGGTCCCGGCCTGGGAAGGCCGGTGTGGTTTTTCCAAGGCTCCTGCATCCCCCAGCCCTCCCTCCACACCGGTTTCCACCACAAACAGCAGCAGCCCTCCTCTGCAGCGCCGGGGCTGGGACAATGCACCCCTGATAAGTGGGCCTTCTGTCCCCAGCTGCACCGGGGCCAGGCTCTCCCCAACCTGCAAGCCTTTTGCTTTCTTTTTTTTTTTTTTTTTTTTTTTTTTTTTTCTCTTGCAAAATCAATTTGCGGACAGCTCACTCATTTTTTCCCCTTGCAAACTTATTAGCTATTCAGCCCCGGCGAGCACTCGTAAGCATCCTTTGTCCCAGGGAGGGCTGGAGACCCCTTCATTAGCAGTGATTACTCTGAGCAGTTTGACAGCCTCCCAGCCCGCTTACAAGACTTTCCCATTCAGCCCTGCCCGGGGCTGCCCCGCTTCTCAAAAGAAACGGAAATATTCAAACATTTCTCCCCCCCTCCCCGCCCCAGCTGAAGAGAGGAAAAGCTGTTTCTCTTCTCCGCCCTCCCCATTCACTTCACTTTTGATACAATATTTTCCTTCTTTGTTAAACCGGAGAGAGAGGGGTCAAGGCAGACTTTTTAGTGACCCTTTTCTGAGCGTTTTGTTTAATGTAAATACAAGCTCCCCACCTCTTCCTCGATTATTATTATTATTATTTTCAAAACAGCCGATGGTTCGGGAGGGCGATGGCTTGGGCTGATCTTTAGGGGAAAAAGAAATGCTGAAAATGCCAGGGGCAGGGCATTCTCTTTCAATGCGGGAAGGGAAAGGGCAGAAGGAAAATAAAAGGGGGGTGGGGGGGTGTGAAGCGCGATTTTCTGCCATGGGTCTTCTCGGTACAGCCAAACGCGGGCGGCGCAGCCCCGGTGGTGAATAAGCGGGGCTGGGGGATGCTCAGCTCTCCCGGTCCTCCCCCACCAAGCAAGCCCGGGGAGCGGGGCTGCTCTTCTCGGGGTGGCTCCGTGCTCGCCCCCTCCCCGGCCGCCGTTTCGGAAGGGGCTGATTTGTGCCCCCTCTGCGGCTGGGGGCACGGAGCTTGGCGGGAGGGTCCCTCCATGGCCCACTCGGGAGAGACAGCGTCCTTCAGTCCGCTAAAACGCTTTGGAGAAATATATAATGTTCACACCGCTGCCTATTGTCCAAATTCCAGCTTTTTTAGTTAAAAAGAAATCCCACCGCGCCTATGTTCATATAATTCTCCACCTCCCTATATGTCTTTTCGAAAGCTTAATTCCCCACAACAAGCCCTACTACTCTGCCCGCAGAAGCCGATGGAGAAATCGCCATCCGCCTCACCGACTCCCGGGGAAGGAAAGAGAGAACACGGTGTGTTTCAGACGATTCCGTTTTGAGAACGAAAAACCGCTTTTGCTCCCCAAAAAACCTCGTGGGTGGGAAGCGCTGCCCCCCAACGAACCCACCACCCCCAAAACCAAGGCAACCCCCCCACACACACCTCGTTTTTGGTTTGAGCTGCAAAGCCGGGCTCCCCTTGCACGGCTCTGCCTAGGGTGAACCCGGTGGGGTTTTAAGAGGCAACAAACCCGGCGCAGGGTTGGGGTGCAAGACACGCTCCCCCCCTCCCCTCCTCGGTAGGTACCCCCAAAGGGAGCTGTAAAACCCCGCGCTGCCTCGGCTCCCCACCCTTGTCCTCCGGCCGCTCCCGCACTCGCAAAACACGGCTTATTTGCCTCCCCCCGACGCCCTAAATTACATCCCGCCAAGGAGATAGCTGCTTGGAAACGGGCTTTAAAAAACAGCTGATAAATACCTGCTGCCTGCCCCGTCCCTGGGATGGTCTGTGAGGAAAACCAAGGCTCATGCACGGGGGTGAAACGCGGATTTAGACATCGGCGGTGCCAAAAAAGCTTTAAACGCGGATTTAGGCAGAGGGGGGAAAAGCCGCTGCCGAGAAGCGAATATACCCCCCGCTAAAAGGCGGCAGGGCTGAACGAATCCATCGCGGAGCTGATGCGGCCGCCGAGCCCCCCCGGCCGGCTCCGCAGGTCCGCCGGGGCCGGGGGGGCCGGGGCGGTCCCGGCAGCCGCGGCGGGTCAGCTTTGCCCGGCTCCGCTCCCCCCGGGCCGGGCTTCGGCGGCTCCACAAAACGAGCCGAGCAATCAGCTTACCGGGGAGGCACCTCTCGGAGGACAGGGAGTGGAGGCGATGAGACCGAGCAGACAAAAAAAGCACAGCTCAGGCGATTTAAAGATCAATGTCAAATTGTATAATATAAAATCCTTCTGCTGGGGGAAAAAGCTTAGCGCGCTCCTTGGACCTGGCGTTTGGTCTCCTCCAGCAAAACCGCCGCAAAACAACGCGAGGGAGGCGGGTGGTGGGGTCAGACCCTGGTACATCGCAGGGGCTGGGACTGGGGGGATTTCGCCCCCGTTCCGGCCCTTCCTGCGCACAGAGGGCTGTTAATTCTTCATCTTCTCCTTGCATTTGCCAGGTGAGGGAGGAAGCTTGGCTTCCCCGGCTGTGCTGTCCCCAACCATTCGTCTCCTTTTTTTTTTTTTTTTTTTTTTTTTTTTTTTTTTTCCCTTTCTCATTATTCCTTGTCCCTGTCCGAAAATTCTCCTCCGGATTCCCGTCCCCGGGCACACGCATCCTCCGCCAGCCCCGGCCCCGCTCCCCTCGCCTCATCCCGGCTCCCCCCGGGAGCAAAGACATCACCCCCGGGCCCGGAGACCCAGTTATTTCGGATCCTGCCGAGCTGATGCTGAAATACCCGTGGCCTCGGAGATCTGCTCTGCGTAAACTGGCGGGCTTGAGACCGACACCGTCATTTCAAAGCAGATGCGAGGGTCGTTCACCAAATATTTTATTATGGTTTTAGGCTGCTTCATACAGTTTCGTCCTGCACATGCTCTACAAGTCACCTGTGCACATAGAGAACAAGCCAAAAATAATAATTAATAATAATAATAATAATAATAGAAAAAATCTACCATAGCAATCCCTTAAATAAGTAAATAAACATTATATATATATATATTTATATAAAAAAAAACCCTTTAAAGTAAAGCAAAACCCAACCAAAAGAACAGCGTCATTTCGACATGAAACACCTCCGCGGAATAAGGGCAGGCGCTCAGACATTTTGCAACTTGGCATTCGGGTTTTTTGTTGGTTTGTTTTTGTTGTGTGTTTTTTTTTAATGTTTTGCGGGCTTTAATAAATTTTTTTTTTTTTAGGCATCAGTTCTGAAAATCCTTCGAAATAAAGGCGACAACGAGTTTTATCACGTTTTTTAATGCAGTCTGCTGCGGGGCTGGGATGGAGGCGCGGGCGGGTGGCGTGTGGCCGGGG